ATATTTTAGAGCTGCAAAATAATTGCACATTTGCACAATATTTTCTAGTCCCATTAACTGCATCAGTAATCCTGCTAAAGATTTGAAATTGGCACTGGATGGATAATGGATGAAGATTTTCCTTTATTACAGAAACCCTCACAGGCACAGAATGCTCGAAACTGTAAGCAGCTTTTAGTTTGAAGTTCAATCTGCTCTTACTTTGATTTACACAAACTAAAAAGTACTTCACAATGCACCACCCAGCACCACCCACATTCCCATTCCGTACTCCGTACTTATCCGAAAGCTGGTGTATGTGTGTATGTGTGTGAGTACCTTCTTATCTGTTGCAGCGCTATTTACACAGGTTTCCCCCAGAGCTGGCTGGCACTACCTTTGGGGCCAGTGGAGCCTTTGTTCGAGGATTTCTGTTGTCAGTTCTGGGTGCTGCAAGTGTGCAGCAACTTCCAACTTCTGGTAGTTGGCGCTTGGCTATGACTATCTTCACTTTTTCAATGGGCTCTAAGCTCCAAATTTTGTATGATTAGTCGAGTCTTTGGGTTTAGTTCTATATAAACTTGGCCCATATGAATTTTGCTTGCCATTCTCGCACTCTGTCTAGGAGTGTCACCCCAAATATCAGTCGATTGGGTGGCCTGGTGGCCAGCCAGTCCCCTGACTCCTGGACAAATTGTAGCAGCTGTGGCCACGACTTGAGCTGACCATTTTATTTATTAAAATATTTATTCAAATGCATCCCAGCTGCCGGCTGGAAAACTCCTCTCCCGACTCTCCCACTCCAGCAATCTTTGTCCATGAAAACAAAGCAAGGTCCAAAATGGAAATAATAAAAGTTAAAACTTTACGTTGCTGCTGGATGCATATAAAAATGTCTGACACGTTGCTAAAAAACAACACGAAAAATGCAAAAAAATGGAAAATAAAACAAAAAGGAGAACTGATGGGCACAGGGGAGAAAAACTAACAAACGGCAGACAAATGGCAAGGCTAAGTCCAAATGAACACAGAAACAAATGCCGGGCACACACGACCACTGTAGCACCCACACGCATACACATGCATGTACACGTATACACGTATGTGCACTCTTCATTCTCACATATACATGTATGACTGCCTTGCTGGCCACGGTGGCCATAAAAAGTCACTCAAGTGGTATTAAATGTACCACCAAGTGTAGTCAGCATCGGGAAGTGGCAAGTGCCAGTTGAAGAGGGGGATACCCGAGAACAGGAGACAGGCAATGGACTACGGGCAACGGGCAGCGGGGTACAGGAAACAGGAAACAGGATGAGAACTTCGAGGAGCACCTGGCACAAAAGGTTAAGACCCAAGGCTACCCACACACACACACACACACACAAGCACTCCCTTCAAGTGTGTAGGATTGTGCGGCATATTAGAAATAGAGAAATCTTTTTGGTTGGAATCGAAATTGACTTTTTCTGTTTGCCGTGTAATTTTTTATTGAAACTGAGTGGCCCTTAGCCCTCCGCTACCGTCCACCAGAGCGCACTTCAGTTCACCTCACTTTCCACTCTGCTGGAATTCAAGATCTTATTTATTTGGAAACTTTCGGCCGAGAGGAGAGTGTAGTGGAGCTGCGCCACTTCTGTACTCGGACTGCTGAAAGCACTAGGCATTCTTTTACACTTAACTGCCAAAAAGGTGTCCAGCTGTTGCTTCTAACCCACGGCCAACCCACGCAAAAGCGAAATGCCGAATGATGCCCCATCCCCATCTTTTTTACATGACATTTTCGTGTGCAAGCGCACATCTATACACACACAACAATGAAATCAAACCCAACGGGAACTGCTGCATTCCCGCTGAAGAGTACCCTTACCAAAAAAGCACAAAATAAAAGTAATAAGCGAAAAGGGTTTTTTACTTTGGCCAACACCAGAACGCAGCTGCCACCGGCAGCAGGGAAAACAACAATGAAAATGTTTTGAGATATTAAACCAAGACAGGACTATTGCGGTGCACCGAAGCCTGCAACGACCCTCAAAGGGTTGAAGCGCCAAGGGTCAGAATGGGAAGTGAAAATTGAAATACGTTCTGTCTGGGTTCGACAGTCCCTAACTGGGTCACTACCTAACGTTGCTACCCATTTCTGATTCCTCAACATCAGTCGAATCGAGAATTCACGATTATTCATTTCTGGAAAGCAAACTAATTGTACAAAAAGTAACCATACCTACTTATCGGTTTCCTTTTGTCCAAACTATTGCCATTAAATGGAACCGGCAAGGAAAAACCAACAATGAAGGCAAAACAACTGCATAAATAATTGATTCTTTGGTTAATGCCTTTTAGACCACTAAATGAAGGATGCTTTCAGACTTGTTGAACAAGTTCGCTGTGTATATTTGCGGCACTCTGAGGCTCGTCAGTCTAGTGATTTATTCCTCTTCGGATTCGGCATTTTTGATGTGTCCATGCTAAATTTCTACAAAAATCCATTTCCCATTCCATTTACCATAAATATGCAACTATTTGGCACTGAAATGAAAGCCAAAGCCGAAAATGTCTGGCAAATACAAACAAAAGCGGCGCCCCTCCATATCCTGCCAATGCCCCATGCCCCTAGCCACTCCGCCTGCTCAGCACTTCAACAAATTTCCCTTTTATACAACTTTCATTTAAAGCGTAAACACACACAGAAAGGGGATGCGGAAAGAGAGGGGCTACATAAACTTTTACCAGCTCATAAAACGCTCAGAAACAAGCGAACAAAATCGAATGCTCATAAAAATTGCACTGCGGGGTCAGATTCAGCGCAAAGGAAACACTTCCAGTGGCAGCTGCACAGCCGGAATGGGGCACAGAACCCCTAGTTATATAGCCAGTCGGTCTGGTCTCTGCCACGTTGAGATTGTGTGGTCCAATGGATTGATTTCTTTTTCGGCGGCACAAAGAAAACGGGAACAGGCCATGGTCAAGTGCTGTCCTGATGCAAGTGCAAAAAGAAAAGCAAACGATAACCAAACACGGAGAAGTGAAAATCAAAAGTAACTGCTTTTTGACGCGGAGTACCTTCCAATCTACCCCACAAACCAGCCCAACAATCGTTTCCAAAACCTCGCACAGCGATAGTGAAATAGTTAAGCTTTGTCGAAAGTTGCCAGGCTTCCTATTCTCGCTCTCACTTTTCGGGCAGACTATTGAAAGTTTTCCAGTTTTCGGTTGCATACTTTATGGCCTCCGGGGCGGCTCCTTCTATGGCGTGGAATTCTTTTGCGGGACCTGCCATTTGGCTGTCGTAAAATAGCTGGCGGCAATCGCTTGATGGCAAACGTGTTCCAATTAAGCGAGATCCTACTGCCACCCCTCCAAAGTGTAGTTAATTTAAATGAAATTTGTAAATTTCTGTTGCAGGCACGTGACACATGCAAATATGGGAAATAAAAATTACATCTCATAAAAATTTACTTTTGCACAGCCACGGTCCACGTCATGGAAAAGAGCGACGAAAAAGAGCCAAAAGGTTGCTACTTGTAGCTATTTCCCAGCTGCCACGCCCATGCGAGAATGACAGGCAGCCATAAAATTGTGAAACAAAAAAAAACATGAAAGGAAGGCTAGCTGGATGGGACGTACTTGTTGATACCCTCGAAGGTGAAAGATTCGTGATTCAGGGGTCCATAGAGATGATTAAGAATATATATGCATACACATTATAGAAGGGAAATGTCTCATACATTTGAAAGAATACAATATACCCCTGAACTTTGGCACTACTGAGCATACATACAGGAAGGAGAGAATATATGGGGCTACTTTTAAAAATGGTTGCTATGCCTTAAATTCTGCATGCAAAGCACACACATGTGAACACACACGGACGCACGAACTCGCGGTTAAATGTTTCGAATCCATGTTCCAATGAAGCGTAAAGTTGATTAAAATGTTGCAATTCCTTGCCACATTCATTGACCTCTAATTGAAAGGCAAAACTGTCGCATTACAAAGGTAATTGCCGCGCGAGTGTTAGGCATTTGGTTGGATGGTAGAGGTTATGCATTTCGCCTCAACGAATTTACTTCTAGTCAATCAAAGGTTAATTGCACATTGTTGCAAATCAAAGAATTTTATTATACACGCTGGCAGGGGTAGGGATGAACGAGCTGATTCAGAATATTGTAAGTAAGCCATAAACTTTCATAGCAGCTCAAACGAGTCCCACACTCACAATCACCCAGGCCCAGGCCCAAGCCCAGACCCCTCGCAACTCACATGCATTTTAATCACATAAACCCCACTTACGCTGGCAACATTCTGCGTAATTTGTATGAGCAAAGTGCGAATGCGATAGAAGGAGACGATGAATAAGGTAGGTCGGGGTATATCAGCTAGATATTGTATCAGTCAAACATCGAAGGGAAAGGATGCTCCAGTCAGTCTTTACCTCAGCAAAACGAAGTTCGAATGAATATTTTATAGTACGTAAAGAGTATTAGGACCGCCCAAAGTTGTCTTAGAGGATTTCCTTTTGCTTCTTAGTTTTTTTTAGCGTGCGCACATTTCAGTTGGAGTATGTGTAGTACATACATGGCGTATGCGCAACATTTGCTAGCAAACAAATTTATGCGGCAACATATAAATCCTGTAACAGTAGCTGCCACAGTTGCTGCCACAACGCAGTTGCCGGAACACACGCCACACACAGCTGTGAGCGGGTGGCAAATAGTTTATGCGAAAAAGCTTCCAAAAAAGTTTCCAATTTGCTGGCAAAGAACATCTTAATTTAATAAAGTGCCGGGGCCTCCAGAGGGGGGAGTAGGCGGCAGCAAATTCGGAAATTGTTGGTCTGCACACAGATAAATCTCAATTAGGCAATACTTGAATGCAGTAATAAACAGTTGGGTTCCCATTCAAAGGGAATGATAGAGGCGATGGACGGGATGGACCGGACTGGAAGTTGAAGAAGGAAAATGCGAGGTCTTTTCACTCAAACTCTGACGAGTTTTAGCTTTTTTATTCAAAGATTTCTCTTTTTCGCTCTAATTTAACAAAAAGTATTTCGGTTTTCTTTTACTAATTGCTTTTTAGTTAATTGACAACATTTCTATGCATAGAAATAAAGACATTAAATTATTTGGCACTCGAAAGAAATGATAAATTCATTGTGAAACTTAAACAAAAATTAAAAACGAAATTAAAGGGAGATAATGCAAAGGACGGTTGTGGCCATGGCCTATTAGAAGACTTGGACACGATGATTCTCGCGATCGCAGACCAAGATGTTGCCATTCGACATGATGGCCACGCCCTCGAGTCCTTTGAACTCCGAGTCGCCGGAGCCCCAGGAGCCGAAGGTCTTCAGGAAGCTGCCATCCGGATTGAAGATCTGTATGCGATTGTTGCCCGAATCGGCCACAAATATATAGCCCTGGTCGTCCACGGCCACTCCGCTGCAGAAGAGGTTCAGAACACAAACCAAAGTTACCGCTTTGTCAATTAAAAATTGTAATTCGATTTACTCACCGTGGAAACTTGAATTGACCGTCGTCAGAGCCCTCGCCGCCCACCGTGGACAGCACCTTGCCGTTCACATCGAAAATCTGTGTGTGTGTGTGTGTGTGTGGATGGGGATGCGGATCCGGATGCGATTGACAAAGGAGGAAGAGGTGACAGTAGACAGTAGATAGTATACCAGGAGGGTCGCACAAGCCGAAGACGGAGAAAGAAGGTCAAATAAATTCGAATGAATCTCGACTGCGAGCATATTTTAATTAAAATTGTTCACATGGCCAGACAGCCATGAAGTTGGTTGCAGGAGGCATCTGATTGCGGATGGCTACGAGGGGTATTGGCTTACCTGAATCCTGTGGTTATTCGAATCGGAAACAATCACACGATTCGTATTCGATACGGCTATATAATGCGGATGCTCAAGTTGTCCTTCGCCACGGCCGCAGGAACCAAATTTGCCAACGAAGGAACCATCGGATTGGAAAACCTGACGAATGCGAATTCGAGTATTCGATAAAAGTTGGCAAATTGAAATGGAAAAAGGATTCGCAAGAGGACAGCCAGAGGATTGGACGAGGCAGCATGGGCCAAGACCAGTACCAGAGACCAGGACATGAGCCTGGTGTGATGCCAGTAAAAAGTACACAAAAACTCGTCCATTGCAGTTAAGCTCATGAAAATTGTGGAGGAGGAGGAGGAGTATATGGTCACGAAGAGGCTCTGCACCAGCTCAAGTGTGACAAATTGGGCAAGGCTTCGCCTCTCGACCTCACCAGAGGAATATAAATATTTGCATGCAAATCGAGATGGAGGATGAGGCCTCACCTGCACTCTGTGGTTTTCCTTATCGCACACGTAAATGAAGCCGAGTGCATCGGTTGTTACTCCCCAAGGATAATTGAATTTGCCATCTGCGGTCCCCTGCGAACCAAATGCGCGCAGGAACCGTCCTTGCGGATCGAGCACTTGTATGCGGTGATTATATCTGGAAGTAAAGAGTAGTAAAGAAGTGGATTAATGGGCGGGTGGTTCAAATGGCCAGCGAACGCATATTCCCATGTTAATTACGGGAAAAAAAGGAAAGTCGAGAGAGCTCTCATTATCCGGAAAGTACATTTGGGGGGCGGACCAAAGCTATTGCGAGGCGGTGCGACATTGAACCTGGCATTCGGAGTGGGGTGTTCAGTGTCGGGCTTAAGTCTAAGCCGCTTAACGTGCAAAATCAAAGTTGACTCACACAATGAGTCCCTGCCACCAGGTTCCTGCACGCGGTCTTCATCTCCCTGCCCGCCCCCTGTGTGCTTAACGAGATTTTGCGTCAAACAATGACAGCGGCAGATGGAGGCTGGAACTGGGATTGCTATCTAGATTGGCCATATGAAAAGGCTGGAGCAGAGCTATAATACGAGTATGCATGTGCTGAAGTAGGAGCACTGGCACATGTTTCTCATTATCGCGGCTATTATGCGCTTAGCCCGCCAATTAGAGGCGGGTCTAAGTCCGAGAATTAATCATGCGCCTTTTGTCTCGACTTAATTCAACTGCAGAATGACCAAATGACCAAATGAGCAGACGCTCGGACTCGCTGTACTCTAAGCCCTAAGTTGGAGAGGCCTTGGAGGCCACTTACCTATCGGCAATGATGTATTGGCCGATTCGATTGACGGCCACGCCGGCCAGGCAATCGAATTCTCCCTCGCCGTTGCCATACTCTCCGAACTCCTTGACGAAGATGCCATTGGAGTCAAAGACCTGGACGCGATGGTTGCTGGAGTCCGCAACGACGATGCTATTGTCGGGACCGACGGCCAGGCCGCGCGGCCACGTAAAGGATCCGGGCTCGCTCCCCCGGCCCCCCAACTGGAACAGCTGCTGGCGCTTGCGCAGATACACCTGCTTAGGGATAGTACCTGCCACTCCGGTTATACCGGCTGCTGCCACTGCTGCTGCTACCGTAGGGGACGTAGGGGAGCCTAGCCCGTTTTTTGACCCATCGTCGTCGGAGGAGGCCAGCTCGTTGGCCTGCCGTAGCGGTAGGCCTAGGCTGAGGCGTCTCGACACCTCGCTGGCGGTGCTGCGGCCGCTGCCGCTGCTCCCAATGCCGTGCGCATGCGATGACGATGCCGCCGTGGAGCTGGTCGCATGCGAGTCGCGTGCACTTCCGGCACTGCTACTGGGCGTGTCCTTGCTACTCTTGTTCCCGTACTTGTTCTTGAGATAGCGCGCCCACGAGCTGAGGGCCTCCCCGTCCTTATTGTCCGTGGAGCTGCTGCCCAGCGCTCCAGCACGAGAGGATCCCGCACTGCGATCGGTGATGGGCGAATTGTCGCGCGACTTCAAGGCGTGCGAAGATCGGCTCCTGGACAGGTCGCTGCTACCATAGCCGCTGTATCTGCAAGGCAACAATTTCATTAGTGATCCACAGAGCGGAGGCTTGGGGGCTGAGGAGCTAAGAAAGGTGGAGTTCTATGGCTGATTTGTGCTGTTCTGATGGATGAGGCGTTCTACGGATCTAGATGGAACTGTGGAACTGTGGAACTATGGAACTGCATGAGAATTGGCGGTGTGGTGCTGCTTATGTACAAAGAGAGATAGAAAGAGAAGTGGGCAGTTGTTGTAGTTGGGAAATGTTGTGCATTTCCAGTTAATTTCGGTTAATTTCAAAACCCGCATAATTTTGTTTTTCTTCTCTTACCAATAAAAAAAACAAAACAAAATATTACGGAAAAAAATAAATTAAATTAAACCATTATAAAAAAGGTCAATTTAAAAAGTTGAATTAGTGTAGAGTGCAACATTAACGAGAACGAAACTTCGGACGTAGCACGCACAGGAACTCAACGAAAAAATAAAACTCACGTCAAATAAATTAAAAAGAAATTAAAAGGAACAAGGAAAATCATATAAAACGATTCCTCGGGACAGCACACGCACAATGAAAGCGCCCAGCGCACGACATATTAGGGATTTTATGTATATATGTATATAGCGAGAGATATGTATATACATCTGATTACTGAGATTTCCATCTATGTATTTACAAAATTTTGTGGGTGTTCTGAAAGTTCTGGTATTGCTTTTATCGATAGATTTCTGTTATCTTTTTTATTTGATTATTCTTTTTGGTGTGCGCACCTTGAAGCCAAGTAAGCGGATGGCGAGACCGTGGTGGGGGATACCGGCTCATCCAGATCGTCGTCCTCGTTGCCAAACTGATGCGAGGAGCGACTGCGCGCCAGCCGGGTGCGGCGCTCCTTCATGGCCAGGTAACGGGAGCGGCCTGTCCCGTAGCGACTGTCCGAGTCGTCGCCCGTTCCGTTGGCGTCCTCGTCGAAGGAGGCGGTGGGCGTGGATAGCGAGGGTTGCGTTACAATGGCGCTGCTCTTGCTCTTGTTTAGAAAGCGGCTTGTGTAGCTGCAAAAATGTTGATTCGGTTCGGTTTGGTTTTTGGTTTTGTTTTGGTTTTGGTTGGGCTTGGATTTGGATTTTATATGCTTTTGTTTTGGTCTTTGGTTCTGTGTTTGTTTTTGTTTTTTTTTTTCTTTACTTTGCTGTAGCTGTAGCTGTGGATGTGTGTATTTTTTAATTTTCTTTGTCATTGCCTTGTATCTCCTGTACCTGGTGTTGCTCTAATCCCATCCCATCCCAACCCCATTCCAGTTGCCTGTGGAAAATCCGCGACCGCTTAATTAACTAACTTTCGACTAGCTTAAGTCCTTCACGCTGTTTCTGTGTGTGTCTGTGTGTCTCATTTATTAGGCAACAAAATTCAATTAAAATACACAGCGCGGACGAAAAAAAACAAAGCAACAAGGTTTCGGCAGAAAAGTTTCTAATTAAATTCACATTTCACATTATCGAAAGTTCAGCAAAGTAGTTGCGAAAAGTTTGGTTAAGTACAAGAAATTATGGCGCCAATTGGCGTTCACCTGGTGGGTTCGCCGTGTGTGTATGGGTGTGCGTGTGTGTATGTCAGTGTATTGGCATGGGGTTGGGAGGGTTAGGTCCTACGGAAAGAAGGGGCAAGGCAACATCGACAACAGCTACAACATGTACGATTACTCATACAAAAACAAAAATATACACGGAAAAAAAAACACATGAATTGAACGCTTACATGCTAAAGTGAGTAACACAAATACAACGAGATTGAAAAAGTTGAGAGCACAGGAGCGTAGGCGGGAGGAAGAGTGGTGGGAGAAATTGTGGTCACTTCTCGCTTTTCCCCTGCCATTGCAGGAGGTAAAGCCAGGCGTTGCACCATCTGTTTGCACTGCTTAATTGTCAAAAAGAAAAAAGCAAAGCTTAAACAAGCGGAAGTGTTACAGTCGACGGCATCGACCATTAGCTACCTACTAAGCATAAATGCCTCCCTGTGGAACTCTTCCGAACAGAAACTCCAACAAAGTTACAAAGAAAACAGACCAAGAAAAACGGAGAACCACAGTGTCTCAAGACGGATCGTTCCAGTTCCCTACAGAAAACGGACAAACGCCAAAGACTCGCCTTCAGTTCCTCATTGAAGCCGAAATACATGCAGTCTGAAATCCCCATCTCGGCCAGTGCAGCGCAGTCAGAGTCCATCCATCCATCCATCCATCCACACTTTCGAAATATCATACAAATAGCATAAATAAATACGAGTGCTCGCCGTACTGAATGGGAAATTGAGTAAGGATGGAAAACAGACGGATGGATGCCAGCAAACAGACTGATAGCAGATAGCAATTAGTATTGTTCCAGAGAGGTCAGAGAAGGTAGCGTCCGCTGTAATTACATTACGCAAGATTTGTTGCAGGCTAGGAAAAGGGGTGCAGGGGCGCCGAAAGGGTTCAATATTTGTTGTCGTGCAAAAGTAAAATTAAAGAAGTTTGTGTCGCCCAAGCACAAAGGCATTCAGGCCTTGAGTGGGCCACATTGATCCCTTTGAAAAGGGTATTGACAGACAGGCGGACTGACGGACAAAGGGAGACAGACAAACGGTGAAGTAAAGTTAATTTCCAGCCCTTTGAGTGGCTCTTTGAAAGCAACATCATCGTCAACATCATCATCATCCTCCTCTGGAAGGAGGAGACTTCTGTAGCAGCTCCAAGTACTCAAAAATATGCTATGAAAGAGGAAGCTTGCACAGGTTTTTTCTTTTGCTTTCGTTGAAACATTTAAATATTTAATCAATAGTTCTTATCACTAATGGATTAGTGTTTCGATTGATTCGGAAGTTCTTTAGTCGGTTAGTGGGGAGCCGTGGGCCAAACTCAACTGTCGTTAGGGTTAACAAGTAATTGAACTATGAATTGAATAGAATTTCACATATGTATTTGTATATGTGTATATGTCTGTATATCTGGCTAGACATCGGCAAGACGCTTTCGGTAGCGGGCCCGGTTGGGTCTGCTTATGTACGGTATGCTAAAGGGCAGTGCACTGCAAAGATCAACACAGAGAGAGAGAGAGAGAACACAAAGAGAGAGTGATAGAAATGTGTAGAGTGTGTGTGTGTGTTTACCTATCTGGGGTTGTGTGTATGTCTTTGGTTTCTTTCTTTGGCTTATGTGAAGGTTATGAACTTGACAATTAGACGCCACACGAGTCGTATGAGCAACAAAATGGCCAATACCAGGTTAGCGCCAGCACGGAGCAATTGTACAAAGCTGCAGCGGCGGGAGCAGAGAACAGATACAAAAGAGAGTCGAAATAAGCACACATTAAAAGGCGTTCAACATGGGGAAGCTCGGGGAAACTCGGGGACTTCGGAACACAAAACGTGTTGCCTACTTTTCAGGGCAATGTATCGCAAACCAAAACCAACATGAAATCCATTATGCAGTATATAGATCTATTTCAAATTTAAATTATTGCAATAAAAATTAATTGCAGGCAGTTTGGTTAAGTGTAATTCAATTAGTTTTGACCCACAAAAAAACAGTAAAACAAATTACCGACCGAACATCAACAGCGATACTTGACACACAATCTATGCATGTTTATTCCGTGCTCATCAGATATGTATCTATGCGGAGCGTGTATCTTTGTATCATCAGTAGCATATAAGCGTCTAGATTCAAGAGTGTGAGTGTGTGTATCGTTTTTGTGTCCTCATTAGCCATGCAAATTAGTCCAGTTATAGAAACTACAAAATGGCGGAACTGTGGCCCCCGGGAAGGAAATACCTGCTGCCAGTGCCGCTGCTGCTGCCATAACGGTCCTCGCTCTCTCCCGCATGATGTGGCGCGGGCACGGTGCGTGTGCGGGCGGTGCTGCTGCTCCCGCTGCCATAGCCGCTGCTCGAGGGCGTGGCATAAGTACTGCGCGATGCCGCCGCTAGCGCACTGTCGTCGCGGGAGGCACGCCGGGCTTCCAGGCGATCACGGTAGGAGCTGCCGCTGGTGGAGCTGCCGGTGGCCGCCGTTGTCGAGCTGGAGGCGCTGCTGGGCGTGGACTTGCTGGCACTGTTGCTGCTGCTGGTCGCACTCGCCTTGGGCTTGGTCTCCGGCTCCGACTCTGACTCGGACTCCGAGCTGGTCTCCTCCTCGCTGCTCGAGCTGGATTCGGCCTTCTTCTTGTCCGCCGTACCATTAGCGGTGGCCGGGGTGCTGTGCTGCGGCAGGAAGCGGCTAACGAAAGGCTTCTTCTCCGGCACTGCGGTGGTGGCTACCGAGTCTCGGGCACTCGAATGACGCGCCGTGCTGGGCGCCTTCTGCTGACTGCTGCTGCTGGGAGCCGCCGAGGCTGCCGCTGCTGCTGCAGCTGTGGCTGCTGCCCCAGAGCTGGCAGAGCTTTCGGTGGAGGCACTGCTGTCACTGCTGCCCGATCGCTGGGTCTTCTTCACGGCCGCAACTTGGGCCGAGACGGGCGGTTTCGACTGTTGGGTGGTAGGAGGAGTGGGAGTTGCATCAGAGTCTGTGGCGCTGGCTGTCTGTTAGTCGAAAGGGTCAAGCAACGAACGCAATTCAGATGCAGACAGAGAGAGAGAGAGAAACATGACGTAGAGGCATATGATGAACATGAAGATGATGGGGATGTGCGTGTGACTGGATGCGAAAAGGGATGGTTAGGCGGGAGTGCGGGCAGTGGAGGAATGAGGGAGATGGCAGGCAATATTAATTCCATTCTCAATGCAACATTCGATATTACTTTTCCCTCAATTATCATCTAACAATGTCCAATGCCCTTCATAACTCCGTCGCTCACTCATCATTGACTCGTTTTGTCATTTCCCTTTGATGTTTTCCTAATTGATCGAACAACCTTTTCCTATTTCTTTCGGTAAATGCCAAAAACCAGACAAATATGCAGCTACTGTGCATATGTCCCTTTATAGCTCACACACACGTACCCGTCCTCTCACACAGATACTCCCATACTCACACTCACACATATAGAGAGCTGGAAACATTGTTAAACTGACGGAAGCAGCCGCATCGCTGACAGTCGCATGATTGTGAATTTTTCGCCATTGAACCCCAACTCAGGGTTGGCATTTTGTGGGCGTTTCGGGTGGGGCCAACGCAACAATGTGTCAATGAATGGGTGAATGAATGAGGGTAGAGCAGAGGATGCGGGTGTTAAGAGGATAGAAAAAAAAACAGAAAAAAGATAGAAAGACATGTACAACAGAAATATTTACAGCGGACATCAGAAATTGAAAAACAACGATATAGCAACGCAAAAAAGGAATGAAACAAAGAATAAATATTCAGAATAATGACAGAGAGACACTGGTAACAACGCGAGAGAGAGACAGAGGGGGTGAGAAAGAAAGACAGGAAGAAATGTCGCTTTGGTTGATTTGGGTCTGTGGTTTATGCAGCTCGACAGCAATGACCAAATTTATTTAGTAAGATTTAAGCAAATTAGCATCACTACCACATCGCTTGTACACTTGCAAAAAGAAGAGAAAACAAACAGAGAAAGAGATAGAGATAGAGAAGTAGGGTGTGCGAGAGAAACAGAATTGTAGGAAAATATTTGTTACATCCAAAACGAAAATTTTGTAAATTGATTTAGTTGTTTTATTCGTTGTAACCGCTGCCAGTCTCTAACTAACGATAAGGTAATAGATGTTAAACTACTAAAATAAAAAAATATATATATTTCTATATACGAGTATACATATACGATACATACATACATATATGCACACATATACATATAGTGATGAATGTCTACAATATTGTACAATTGACGATTTCTGATGTCCGAAGTTTTGGGCCGAAACTTTCTGCCCGGATATTCATGGGGACTTTCAAGCAAAAGGTTCTGACCCAAAACAGCATTAAGTGAAAGGCGCTCACGAGACATTAAAATGGGGGAAATGTGAAACAAGTACAACGGAAAATGGGGAAAACAATGAAATAAATATAAATAAATGAACACCACAACTTAAAATACACTTAAACAAAAACCAAACAAACGAAAGATGTAAGAACAAAACATAAAGTAAAATAAAACAGAAAAGGGAGGAACGGAACGGAAAGGAAAGGAAAATAACCAGGGAAATGTTTTGTTAAAGGAAATGGTAACATTAACAGTAAGAGTAACGATAACAGTTAACGGTTAACGGCAAGTTTAAGTTTGCCCTCTCTGTTTCGAACGGTTCGACAAACACTTACGGAGCGGAGGGGAAGTGTGAACGATGGAGCACAAAAAAAGAACGAAGCACACATGGCGTATACGTAATTAATTCTTTTAAATTTTCTTTTTTTCATTGGGGGATATGCAAACAGGGGAAATACTGTGCCGGAAAAACAGTGACAGCGAGATTTTATACCGATTATCATGTTTCTTCTTCTTCCTGATCCTCATCCTCATCTTCTTCCTCGTCATCGGTCACTTCTATCTCCTCTTCTGTGTACTCTTCTTCGTCATCTTCTTCACTCTGATTGGATGTTAAATCCTCTTCTGGTTTCTCTGTCTGAACTTCATTTGGATGACTTATGATCGCGGCAGGACTTTCGTGAACTTTGCTGGACAGCTCTCCCTCTGGAGGCAGGACATTGATCACTGGCACCTCCTGGGGCTCTCCCTCTTGTACGGCCTCCACCTCCACATCCTCTTCTTCATCGCTGCTTTCGGTGACTGTTACTTCTTCATATTCCGATGAATCTTCGGAGTCGTTTTCGACTTCCTCTACTTCTGCCTGCTGCTGCTGATCTTCCTCTTCTGCCCCCTGTTCCTCATTCTCCTCGTCTACCTCGCTGTCACTGCCACTGGCCACGCCTTCTTCTTCTGTATTTGCCTCATTCACACTTACCTCGGCTCGCGTCGCTGCTGTCGCTGTACGCACTGGAGATGACGCCTGATTAGAGCCACTGCCGTCGCTGTCCTCGCCACCGCGGGGACCCTTGAGGGTCGCCACCCGCTCGCTGTTGGGTCGCTGATCCTGGCCCGCCTCACTGGTGGCCGCCGAGGTGGCTGCTCCAGAGGAAGCAGCACTCTTGCGTTTCTGGCGCGCCAGTTCGTCCTCATCAACTGCTGCCGCTGGTTGTTGGCTCTTCTGCTGTTGGCGCTGCATGGCCGCCTTCTGGGTCTGGATGGCTGCCTGGACGGCGGCCTGGGCCGCGGAGGCTGCGTCCGACTTCTTGTCCGACTTCTTCTCCTTGCCAATGTCGGCCAGCCGCTGAACGACGCGGGAGCAGTCGCTAAGGCGAATGATACCACTCAGCTGGCCACGCGACACATCCTCGCTATCGAGGACGCGGTCCTTGCGCTCCTTCAGCTCCTGCTGACGCTGCTGCTGCTGTTGCTCGGTGTCCGAGTCGTCGTTCTGGTGCGAGCGAACAAAGCGTGACCGGAAGCGCGAGGACTTGCCTGTCCGTCCGGAAGTGGGCTCGTTCTCGTAATCGTTCTCGTAGTCATAGTCCGAGCGGCCGTAGCGGCTGCTCTCGCCATAGCGATCGCTGTTGGTGGCACTGCGCTGGGGACGCTCTCCGAACTTCCGACCGCCAAGGACGGGCTCGTCGTTGTAGCCACCACGCTCCTCCTGCTGCCGGAACTGGGTGGCCAGGCGGTGGTCGCTCTTGGAGCGCATTAGTCCGGGCTGGAGGCCGCTGGGAGGGGCGAGGTGGGAGCTGCTCACCGAGCCGCCCGGCGTCGAGTGTGGCGCGATGTTGAGGTCGCCAAAGGTGGCCAGGTTCATCACCAGCTGGTTGGGATCGATGGAGACGAGGAATCGCACACGACGACTGTAGTCGTTGTTCTCGTACTCGAAGTGCCGCAGGAACTCGACGGTCTTCAGGAAGATCTCCTTGGTGTCCATAAGCTCGCAGTCGTCCCACTCGACTGTTTCGTTCATGTACTTGTCGACAATGTCGCAGTTGCTGCCGATGTTGGTGATCTCCAGGTCCAGATTCTCCTTGAGCGTTGTGAGGTTGCGCAGCTCCACGGCCAGGTAGCGGTCGATCTCGCCCTTCAGTTGGTCGGAGCGATCCTTGATAGCCTTGGTAATACGATGGTAGATCTCGTCGATCTCCTCCGTTACACTGATCGCGTTCGTCTGCAGACTCATGGTGTTCTTCTCGATGATGGCTAGGGAGTCCTGCAGTCGATGCAAGCTGCGGCGGATCTGAAGAGGGTATGAGGTGCGTAAGCAAAAGCCAATTGAAAGATCAGTTCCGGACTCACCTGTGAGTTGAAGCGCGTTATCTCACGGCGGAGTATGTCCATGTGGGCGCTCTTGCAGTCCTCGCAAATCTTCTTCTCGCAGTGCGCACAATGAGACAGATAGGCCTTCTCCGAGCAGACGCCACAACGTTCCATGATTTGACCTACGAAAGGAGTGACACACAATTATTAATCAGCTTTTTCCTCCCCCTATCTGTCTTCCGTTTGCAGCAGTCCTCCCAAAATACGCTCCCAAATGGGGCCCCAAATGACTTCCTGCCTGGCTCCCTTGAGTTGAACAATAAAATGCCAGCCATGCCAGCAGCTCATCAATTTGCACTCTTGGCAACAAAGTCCTTCCACATTCCGGGTCTGCTATGCTGTAGGGGGGCAGGGCCGGAGCAGACTCCGGGCTGGATGTCTGTTGCATTCACTAATGCGATTTCAAGAGCAAGAAATCAACTGCACCTAAGCGCCTGTTATGGATGTTTGTGTACATTATACACTTCTCAAGGAGGAGACTACTTACTCTCCATATTCCAGAGAAGAAGGGATTATGGATTAGTAGGATCTACTAACACAGAAAAGTAAATAGGGCATCTCTGAACGTTTATCAATATAAAGTTTTGAGACTAAGTTTTGGGAGGAATCGCTTATCTACTGCGAGCATCCTATATTTAATTTGAAGGCGCTGGCTATGTGCATAGATCAGGCAAAGTTTCTCAACTACTAACCAAGTTTGATCACAAACTGGCCACTATGGCTATCAGGTGGGTGAAATATAAACTACTGTCTCCATGCAAAGCTCACAAGGGACACTTTTATGTGTTTCTTCATCATGCGCCCAGATATGATTTCAATTCTATTACTGGGAATACAATTGAGGGTATTTGTAGTTTCGTTGCTCCACCAAGACCTTCCTTCTTGTTATCTCTGGGTGTGTGTGTGTGTGTGCCACATCCTTTGCCAAGGCAGTCCTGGCTCGTTGTCGATGGCTTGACTGTTGCAATGCAAATAACGAGCCGCCTCAGTTGCCTCAGTGGGGCAACAAAGCAAACACTGCGAAGATGTCGCTACTGCTGCACTCTCAGCTCGACAGCGTCAACTTTTCTGCATCAATTGCTGGCATTGGCAATGCCTGATGAACACTCCCCGCCTTACTCCTCAGCAGATCCGCCGGCCTGACAATAACTTGCCACTGAGCGGCAGACAGAGGGGCACATACATAGAGAGATATGTATGCATGTACAATGTACATAGAGCTTCCAGACTGCTGCATGCCAATATTTGGCTTCTGTATATTTTCTGTGTAATCATATGGAAAAGTGAATTTACAAATTCCACATGAAAGTTGTAGTCGTTGTCCCTGCCATATCCATAACACGAAACGAGGAGCACTGAAAGCCAAAAGGAATTCTTTTGTTTCACACATTTGCATACCCAAGAACCAAATTTATCCAAAAAATAAGAAACAAAAAAAAAGAAAATACGAATGAAACCAAATGCTTTGTCTGCCTTATTAGCTCTTACCCCATGCCCCATGACCCATGCCCCATGCCTCGTACTCGACTTAATGCTGATTGCAATTGAGAAGTTGCAATGCATTTGCATATTTCACTCACTTCGACAACTATCAACCTTGCCACTTGGAATATATATATATATTCTGATAGATACGCACAGTCATGCTGACAGCCGCCCGATCCGCAATTTGTGGACCGGCAAAATGCAAATTGCTCAAACAAAATCAATTTGGCTTTGCTTAGTTTTAATTGCTGTCAGATGGCCGGGGAAAGTGTCTGACTTTTTAATTGGAAACCCAAACATTATGGCGAATGGCAATTTTTGTTCGACGAGCATACTAGTACATTCGGCTGGCATACCCATAGCTTTTCCCATTGTTTTCCATTTCTTTTGTTTTCCCTTTTAGCGGAATTTAATTAAAGTTACACAAACGATTACATGGCAGCATTTTTTTATTAATAACATTCCTTGCTTGCCTCTGCCGCCAGGATTTCTGATTTCTGATTTCTAATTACTGATTTCTGCACTCAAAGGATTCTGTTTTATTGCACAAATATTTTTGCTCAAATCGAATGAAGCAAAAGGGGAAAATTGCAGTTTGGAATTTGACCTTTTATATTAAATAAGGCGAGAGACCCTTCAAAGGCTTCTCCTCTATCGCTTTTCAGAGACTAGTAAAATCATTTTAATTGCTTTCATTCCTTACCTGATGTCGGATCGGGCAGTTCTCCGGTGATTTCGATGTGCAGCTCCAGGAAGCGCTGTAGCGTTACATTCGTTGGAAAGGCCTGCACGCCGTTGTAGGGTATGCGATGTTCGGCACGGCATTCTGGGCATTTCACCTGAAGATTGGAGGGTATTACCTGGATTAGTCTTGCTTATTCGCACGTAGAAAATTAATTGCATTAATTCAAAGCTTAAAATCAGATTTAATGAATGATTCTTTGAAGCCTTTGAGCAACCTTAAGGCTATCAAAGGCTACTTGGCTCTTCCCCAACATTCCACTAAGATGTTAGTTATCTTAAATTGATATGCCTTAATCTTCTTGTACTAGCTGTGCGCAACTTTAAAAACCATTCACATTTGTCCTGATTCATGTGAAGGCATCTTGAGTGCGTCCTTTCGTGAAGTTTCTTCATCTCCTGTCAGCCTTCAGCCACAAAAATCAATCTCTCTTTGCGGCTTTCGCAGTTCGCATGACAGTTATTGCAACTCTCTTTCTACCTTTCTACATATCTATCTATCTATCTATCTAACTATGTACGAGTATCCGTGTGTGGTTGTCTGTATTTTACCGAGTAGGGCCAACACAATGAAAATGCTTACCAATTATTTGCGTGGCGCTGGCTGAGAGCCAAAAACTGAATTTATAAATACACGCAGACAGAGACGTTCGAATCTGCGGAGACTATAAGTAGCGCAGTACACGGATATCTGTATGTACGAGCGTATATATAATTTTGTGTCTTTATGTATAATTTTTCAACAAGATATCTACGCAAATGCGCCTCAGGCAACGCGATAAATACTCAAAAAAACATTTTCGGGGGCGTCTTGCTGGGCGCCTTTTTTGTTTTCATTCCCATTTCATCTGATTTTGCTCATGAGATTTTGTAGTTAAGCGGCCGCACGGTGATGTGTGACGTCGGCGAGGCATTAACCAAATTGCCACAGATACGAGTACATATGTATGTATGTACATATGTATACTGATTTGAATGATGATTAATGATGATGATATCCTTACCTGACGTCGCACATAGTCCACCAGTCCCTCCATGCAGGGCTCCATGCAGAAGGAGTGCTGACATGGCAGCAGCTTCGGTATGCGATACCTGTCCAGGCATACGCAGCACGTCAACAGCTGCTCAAATTGCTCCATGGCTCACTGTGTCCCCAAAACGAAGCGAGGACACACGCACACATAGAAAGATAAAGGAAGAGAGACAATCATTAGACCTGATTCGATTAGACCACAAAGATGCTGTCAATTTGATATTCATATCATTATAAATTCACTTTCTCTCCCTCCTTAAGCTCATCATAAGACAACAGACAGAAGACAGTCAGTCAGTCAGTCAGCCAGTCAGTCGGACAGTCAGGCCATCTGTCAGTCGGTAAGCTCGCCCCCAAAAAAATCCACGCCAAAAATCCGATTGGCAGGAAATTCTTGCATTTGAATGAACACAGCCGTGGCAGCCCCCAAAAGTCATACAATAAATTGACCATTTCGTTGTCGTATTGTAAGTCGCGGGCTGCCATCGGAGCTTGCCCCTCCCTGTCGTCGGGCTTCATTTGGCCCGGCCAAAATACACTAAGCCACAAATCTTCTTATGGCTGCTTCATTAAAAGCGGCTCCGACAAGTTTATTTACAAGAGACCGAAATTCTGCTGATGTTTCGGGTTGCGACAGGTTTAATACGCGCAGGAAACCTAATGCAAGCTCCACATACACTTTTCCACAAATAATAAGTCTTACGACCCACTCGTTGAAATTGGTAGCCATAGATATTTGGATATTTCGCATTCAATGGGTTATTATAACACTTGAGACAGTTGCATTTCCTTTCAATTAAAACACATTTAATTTTAAATTTGAAGATAAACAAGGAAATATGAAATAAATATATTTCCCCGAAATTCTTTTTCAGGGCATATACTGCTATATATGTATGCACCCTTGCTATTCTCTTTTTATTCAAAGCTCCTTTATAATTTTTTTCGAGCTTTAAGGCAGACAAATCCAGAATGAAGGACATGGCGGAGTTTTTTCTGTTACCTCTGCATGAAATTTACCAAGTTCTTCTATATTTATTTTCGGACAATTTTCTCAGGAAGCCCTTAAATTCATTCCTGTGATATCGCTCTTCAATAAAGGATTTCCCCTTCTCGTAAGCTACAATTCCTCATAAGCTCGAGTGCGCTTTAGCCATGTCAATTGCTCTTAATACGTCTCTTCCTGCACCTCTTGCGTTGAGATTTTAATAATAAAAATGACACACATTTCTTAGAGAGAGAGGCAGCCAGCACACAGCAGAGAAATTCTGCTCATACTCGTGTATACATATAATGTATAAATATAAATGCGATTTTGCGCTGACTGCCGGGGCGATGGGCGATATGCATCGCGCATACGCCGCGGTTGTCGTGCCCAAACCAGTGCGCACTTCCTGCTCGTAAATATACGTAAATATACGCTATGTGCCCAGATAGGGGTATTATTATGGAAGCATCTCTTTCTCTATTTCTCCATATCCATATCCATGTCGATGTCCATGTCCATGGCAGCCAACGCTAATTGTCGTGCGCCTGTTTCCCATTATTGTTGTATGTTTGTTGCTACGGACATTTAAGTCATCAATTTAATGCGGCCAAAAGTTCAAAATATATGTGACACGCCTCTGCCACGAAAATTTGTGTGCTTGTATCCATACGTCCGACACACGGACATATGCGAAAGCTGTGCAATTAACTGGAAAATGCGCTTAAAATCAAATTGAATAGAAATTTTGTCGCTAGCACAAATTGTGCGTACAGCAGAGCGGGTCCTGAATAGAGGGTATACTGTGCGGCTGGCTGGGTAGGGAAGCGGAGAGGGGGGGATGTGTGGCAAAACTAATTTAGCCATTGCAGTTGTGAATGGCCGCTGAAAGGATTAAAATGAATAGAGCAGAGCTCTGCTCTCCGGCATAATGGAAACAACCAGCGAACTCTTCTCCCGCCGCACTCTGGCAGACTCGAGCTCTGAGTTACATTTTTCAGCGGTTCCCCCAGCTATGAAAAGAGTTCAGAATAGAGGGTTGAGGGGAGGTCAGCTGGCATTGAAAAGCTGAAAGGTCTCCCATGATGCTCGTCTGTGGCTGAGCGCAGCCCGTATAAGTGTGTAAAATATCTGATAAAATTCCGTGCAACTCCAAAATTCTTTTAATACGCAGCAAATTAGGCGGAAAGTGGATAGCGGATGACCGCAATGAATGTGTGGCATTGGATGACAAACCAAACGAATAGTTCCTCTAATTAGTCTATAGATGAACTTGTTTTCCTTTGTTTTCCTCGAGAGATTGATGGCCACAGTTGCTGGTACAAGAGAAAACAGCAAGAGATTCATTAACCTTGGGTGGGTTAAAATTAAATCGAGTTATGTGAGCAGTGTGTGCGCGCACGGTCAACGGGAAATGGAAAAGCGTTAAACGGTAGACACGAAACGGAAATGCGGCAAACACTTGACCCTCAACAAATTGGCATGGCTCACAGTGCGCTGCCAAAAGAAAAACTGAAACTGACACAGACACAGAAATGGGTCAAACTCTTTGCCGTCGAGTGACAGCGGACACAGAGCCATCATCACCATCATCAGGAGCAGCAGCAGCAGCAGCACGCAGAAAACATTGAAAATTGAAATCAACACAAATAAATTGAAATGAATTCGATGAAATTTGGGTCACACTAAACCGCAGCCAAACAGCCAACTCGTCTAAAACCCCACCAACAAAAAAAAGAAAAGGCGGAGAAGGAAAACTCACCAATAGAAAATGGAAAACTGCTGGGCAAGCGTTGCTGCTGGTGCTGTCAAAGCGGCACTCGAAGGCAATCATAAAATGCAATTGGTTTTTGGCAATGCGCGAATCCTTAAAACTCAGTCGCTGAAAAATCGTTGCGAGTCCTCGTTTCTCGATCCGGGGCACTTTCATTAAATGTGTGCGCGACTTCCGATTGATTTATATTTGCTTAACTTTCTATAAATCTATATATAGTATATACAAGTTGTTTTCTTTTTTTTTTTTGGTTTCGATAAAGTTTTGTTGGGCAACGCGCCTCGTAGAATTCGATTGGAAATGTAAAAAGCGACTGAAGGCAAGTGAAAATTGCCAAGCACATGAGCCAAGCAAAACAAGAGCAGTCTATAATATTTTAAATATATACAAATCTTCTCTCACTCTCTCTCTCTCCTTCTCTCTCTCTCTCTGTGTATCTGCAGACGACCATGTATCCCGATATGAGAGAGAGAAGCAAAACAAAATGTGCGATCGTCAGAGAAACGCAAAAATATATATTCTTGGCAGCAATCGCCCCATGTCTTCGTGTGTGTATGTATCTGTGTATATCTATAGCTGCAGCCCATTAATGAGATACAAAAGATACAAATACTTTAAATGTAAGAGTGCCTCTGTGCGTGTGGCTTGCGGTTTGTGGATTGGAGATGAAGTTCTCTCGAAGAAAGCATTTCTAAGTGCGGCCAACTTATTTGTTTATCCGTCGGATACCAATTGGTCCAACTCGTAGAATCTATGTACACACCGCTGGTTGACGTCATGAAATGAGTGTGTATTAATTTGGCCACACGCCGGCATTTTCCATCTATCCCATGGCTGCGGAACGGGCTATTTCTGCGTGCGCCTCTGTATCTCGCTGTAACAGGCCCTAAAAATAAACTTCATTGAAAATTGGAGCGAGCATTGGTCGGAGAAAATGCTCTACTCAGCATTCCACTTGTGCCACATACTACTAATCTCGAGTTGGCTAATTGAAAAGTTTTCACTTTCCCCGACACTTTCCCAGCACTCCCTTTCGGGAGCAGGGGAAACCTTCGTTGAACAGCACAAATGTTGCTTCTCAAGGTCGAAACTTTGTCACGACTCCCGCTGCCAGTCTCCCTTTTGGGAGTGGAAATGTGTTGGCTAAAAATAGAAGCCCGCTAGCCCGGAATTCACTGGCTGCAGATTGCAGAGGGGCTTCCAAAGATAGAAATGCAAAATATTTTCGTGCTATAAATAAGTGGAGCAGACAGATCCGAGCACAGATGCAATCGAAACTTCTGCAAAGGAGAAGAAATCAAGTGAAATTTCTACTCTTTGGATAACTTTAAATATTCAGAGCCGTTCAAATGGAACGATGGTCATCAACAATTACTTACATTTTCTGCGCTGTTTCTGCTTTTGCCTCTTCTTCGACTGGGCTTCCGGTATCCGAGGCGCCCTTGGGCGGGGCCCTGCTGTTTGGCTGTTAGCTCTGCTGCCTGCCAAAAAGAGAGAGGAGAGAGTAGAGAGTGAGAAGTGGAACCGAATTAAAGCGATTGACAGTGCCAAATTTGATGATTAATCGACTGAGCTCTTGGCCGATGCTGTGCAGGAACCGAAACAGAAACAAAGGCCTGCTTCTGAATGATCAGTTCCATTTCGCCAATAATTTGGTACCTGCCCATTGATATGATGGGCATAAGCCGCATGGTGCCGACTTAATTATACTGCCACAAAGGCAGCCACAGTCAATGCGATAATGAATGCGTGTGGATGCGCACTGCACAGCGGTGGATTGTCAGCGGGTGCTCTATGAAAGTGCATAATGAAGTTGCGGCTGTGCTCAAAGCATTGTGCAGAGTGGCGGATAAGCGCCTTGAATGCACCCATGAATATGTCCAGGTTAATGAGCAAGCGACCAATGCGCAAATTTCATTGGCAACAATAGGCGTACAATCGTAGCAATGCCCATATGGCAGGTATCATGGCGCCAGAGATGAGTTTAATTAACCCCCAAGCAAAGGAGAAGGCGTGTTCAATTAAAGACAATAATAGCAGGCCGTTTGCAAGCTTGTAATACACTGCTTCCATTCTCCGAGGCACAATTCAAAAACAGATACATTTCGAGTCAATAATTTAATTAAAGTTTTGTTTTGGTTCTCAGAAGATTACGAAGAAAATTGAGAGAGTAGTTTTCTAATTTAACCCACATGTTTAACCGGAAGTTGGCCAGCGACCTTGAACTTCCTCAGAAGCCATGACAACGAAGGAGAGAGTGGAATGAAAGAGGCGAGTGAGTGGTCACACTAAAGCATAATGAAAAAGCGTTGCCTGCTTTTCGGCTACCAACAAAAATCCATTGCCAAATGGCATTTCATCTTTTGCATTTGTTTTTTACCTCTCGAAATGAAAAATGAAATGCAATTGCAGATTGCTGTACACAATTCATGGTGTATACTGAAAAAAGCGACACAAAGATATTAAAGGTGAAAATGAAGCCACAAGCAAATGGGAAATGGGGAAAAAGAGGGAACAGTGAAACAAAAGAAATCAAGACAATCGATGATAAGAGAGAGAAAGAGCGCAAAAGACAAACACAAAACACAAAACAGCAAACAGCTAGCGCAAAATAGAATCAGAAAAGCTCTGAAAATGTCGCTGATTGAATCGAACTATAAATAAGGCAACAACGCGGCGTATGAGCAATGTGGTGCCCCTGCCTGTGTGTGTGTGTGTTTGCTCGTATCTGTGTGGGCAAATTATTGCTATGCTTTTTGATGAGCCCACTACACTACAAACACACACACACACACAGGGGAATCCTCATATAGCCATAGCCATCTATATATGTACATTATTTTGTCGAACTTAATAAATTTCAACGGCTACAAAAGATAGAAATTGCCAAAAACGCTACTGAAGAAATATGAAAATAAATTCTGACAGCTTTTCACGAATGTGGGCGAATGGTTAGTGGCAACCAGGTGACATTTTCACGGCTTTCGTTCTCTATCATTCACACTCTCATCTCCCTCTCTCATTTGCACACTTTTTCACTCGTTTTTTACATAATCAACGGGCATTGAATGCGCTCAGCTCATCTCCATTTGAATGGTTCTCCAAGAATGGTTTGGCATCAGGCATCAGCCATCACTCACTTGGTTTTCGCACTGCAATCTGAGGATGTGTCTCGTAACTTTTGCAAATTTATTCGCATGCCTTGGCGGCACTCTCCTTCGGGGTTGAAGAAATGCCTTTCACTGGCTTCACGTTCAAACGATTTTTGATTAGAAAAACACTCGCGCTTCGATTACGAACTTTATTTTCACAGAGAGGTTGCAACCTCTCGCACCACGCGACAGGTGACAGATCTATGGATAGATCCTACCACCTCTCTATATGTATGGGCTTGTATATGTAGTATATATAGAGGTATATCGAATTGGGCTATATCTATTATCGGCGTATCGGTCCGCACGTCCACTCGCGAGCGTGCCAGAAATGAAAATGAATGTTTGGCTCTGCGATGGCAAGCTCTCAGCCGCCAGTTGATGATCAGCCGTTCTTGAGGTGAATCTTTATAAATATAACCTGCAGAACAACAGCAAATATTTCTGTGTCTTCTTCCCACTTTCACACATATCATTTTGTTGTATTTCAGCTTCACCCGACCCCAACGAACCTGTGTGGAAAATCTATAAAATTCTCTGTTGCTTCAGATACGCCAGCGCCTATACAATAATTGTCTGTAGAAATTTATCGTTTTACAATGTCGCGTAGAAAGTCCAACAACATATATACATAAGTATAAACATGTAGTATATATATGTAGGAATGCAGAGCTCATTACTTGCTATTGTTCTGGCTTATTCCGCAGTTTCTTTCCTGACGACCATACCATGGAAATTTCTCTTTCCTGGGTCCAGCCACAGCGTCCATCCGAGCCCACGCACTCTCCTCAAGCATGAATCATTTTAGCAATTTTCATAAATATTTATAGAAATGAAAGGCATTTATTGATACTTATACGGAGGCTGGGAAAATTGATTCGCTAACGAATATATTGCGAGACTTATACTCATGCCGCAATTGAATGCTAATTGGTACAGGTATAATAGGATCATAGGATAAAAAATGAAATTAGCGAAAAGAAAATATCAGTTTTTTAGAGGGAAAAAGTGTGTTTTTATATTGTATTTTCCCCCTGATCAATATCGTATGGAAATATATTTAAATATTTCTCTCTGTCAGCACACTTTTTCTAATTGGTTTGCACTTTCTGCAGCTTTTTTCTTGCCAGACTGCCTGGTCTTTTGTCTGGTCATTCGCTTGTCCCCCACGACAGTCCACTGTCAATCAAACATGATGAAGCGAGTATGCGGTGCAAAGATTTTCCGCCAACAGCCAGGAATAACAGAGAAGCGCAATTCAAAAAGTCAAATAATTGCAATTTATGAGTGGACCAGGCGAAAGATGTCAACAACTGAAGCTGCTGATGGACTCTAGGTCATCCAATATCAACAGCATCAGCCTCAGCCTGCACAGCGTTCCTATTTCGTATTTCCATTTCCCACTTTTCCATTTCCATCATAGCCAAAATTCACAGCATTCAGTGGTCTCTTTGGGCAAAGCTCGAAGGTCTAATTGGAAATGAAATTGCGTTTTCGATGGAATGCATCGAGTGGATGCCACAAAGAACTCCTGAAACCGCCTGCCACATGCGACAATTGTCTCATATCCAACGAGACCAGCACCGTTAGGAGAGTGGTTGGATTGCAAATTTGAGAGGGAATCATTAGCCCGAAGCATGATTAATGACAATTCATGGAGGGCCAATTGACAGATGGCATAACGAGCGAACAGCCTCAAGGACCTCTTATTGATGGACATGCATGGAGATAGGGGCAGAGCCCAGAGTCGGACCAAGCCTGAGAGGCACTCCAGAAGGAGACACTCGGCATTGCCAGCCACGCCTGGGCTAATTGCCGAAGGCAGCTTAAAGGAGAGCCAGGACACGCAGAGAGGCGGAGGCGGAGGCTAATACGGGCAGATGGTGAATACAAGTTTCGGCAACGTGGTAAAGTGGCAATAATAACGAATTAGCAAACAATTTCAAGTATTAGACAGCCACAACTAACTAAGAGGGTGGCCACAAGAGTTGGTCAAAGATGGAAACTGCTTTAAGCTTTAAGGAGGGTTCCATTGATGATATGAATTTTCAATGTTCAAGAATACAATTATATTTGTACAAGGTATTCTGTTGAACTTACCCTGGAGTGCCTTGGTAAATGATTTTGAATGCATATTCATTAGATCCAATGAATATGTAACATACTCAACTGATTTTACGAGTTTTCGTTGTACAGCTTAATGGTAATCACATCATGAGCCTTATCTATGTTCCCTCGGGTATTTCCGGGTACTGGGAACTCCTTTGGAACATCTCTCTAAAGGCAGGACTACCATTGGGGGGCAGGACAAACTATTGCCCGTCTGACAAATGGCGTTAAGCACATAATAACCAATTTCTCTAAATACGGCCATAATTATGAACGCCTACACACACACAAGACACACTCTCGTCCCAGCACACACACTCACAACCAAAGATAGGCCCTCGTAAGTGTTTTTCTTGTTGTTGGCTACTTCATTTGGGCGCGTTTGTTCTCGCGAACTAAGTCGGCCTTCAGAGAAGGAGTGGTAGTAAGAATGAGAGAAGAAAGGACGAGAAAGGGGGAAGGGGAAAGCGGAAAGCTAGAGCGTTAAAGTAAAAGCGAGAGCGCTGTCTGGGTCTGGGGCAAGGATTTATCGTAATTAGGCATGCATGAGCATATGCTGTCGTCTAAGCTCAAGGATGACTCTGCGTCTACCTCCTCTCTTTTGCAATACAAACACAGACGGGGGCAAACACTGGTGAAAGAACGAAAGGGATCCAGGCAACGGGCACAGGGCAGAAGGGACGGGCAGGGCCTCCCCCCAATGTACATAATTAATTGTGCTGCTGCGCTGGCAAACACGCGGCCGCCTCAAAGTAGGCAACACGCTTTTTTGGCCAAAACGTTCCGCCATAATTGATTGCCTCCTCATGCACGTCACAGCCAAAGCCAAAGCAATGTGTGGCTGTATGTGTGTGTGTGTGGGATATATCCTTCAGAGCTACAAGTATTTTTAAATGAATATATCTTTAATTAGTTCTCCGTTGCTGCTGCTTCTGCGGCTCAAAACGGATCTTGCCTGCCGAACTTCTAAAAGGCCCGGCCACAAAAGACTTGACCGCAAATAATAATGCACAAATGCTGCCACACCGCAAGTGTTTCCCAGCAACACACACACACACACAGTAGAACATTTTCTTAAATTAACATTAGCAACATTTGGAGCTGCCATTAAGAGGGTCGGTTGCCTGGCTGCCAAGGCCAGAATCCCCTTTGGGCTCACTGCGAACTACGTTCAATGACCAGGCGCCAGGACCAAACAATGCCCTGGTCCCTCCTTTAACTGATGGCCGGGAAGAGCCAAGGACGGACCTAAGCAAACTAACTCCAACCTTAACTTTGGGACGGACCACTAGCAGTCACTTTTATTACCTGGCGCCAGTCAAATTAGCACGAGCATACAAAATTACGTATACGCCGCCCGGCCTTTTGGAACGGAGCCGACGCACGTGCTCATAACCCGTTGTCGCTTATGAAACAAAACGTCAAATGTTTCTGTAATGGCGGACATTAACATTTAACCTTGAAGCACAAATTACCGGATTCTTGTCACCTCCACACGCACAAAACAGAACAGAACAGAACACAGGGAAGGGAAGGGGAAAAGTAAGAAAAGTTTGTTTTCCACAACTTTCTACCTCAGCAGGCAGTCGTCGGACTGGCAGGGGTGGCTGGCAGGCGGACCCATAAAAAATCCTGTGGAGAGGCATCAACGGCTGCGAAACATATGCGCCTTCCCGGAGGCGTTCGAAACGCTCCACTTCTGAGGTGATAAGAGTGTGGCAGCCTGGCATTCTGGCATCGTGGCATCCTGGCAGCACCGCAGCATGACGTCGTTGTCCTTGTCGTCGTCGCCGACGCCTTGTGATAAATAGCTTGATTTTAAGCGAAAGGCGCGGGAGTAGATTTATGACACACGCATTTTCCGGGACTCTCCATCCAGCATCCCTCCCAATGAAAGTGAAAAGTCAGCTCTGTTTCGGGAAAAGAAAACACGAAGATCGAATATCACGCAACAGGCGGAAAGGAAAAGTATGATATCAAATAATATCCGATTTATGCCACATCACACAGTTTACTTGCATTTAAAATTAAATTTATATTTCTTTCCATTCTTAATCAGTATTTTATATCTGAGTTTTGTGAAAAGCTCCTATGTTTCTCATTATTTTTGGTTAAATGAAACATAAAACCGACAATTAAATAAATAATGTTTAATGTTCATTCGAGCTACGCATTCCATATGCATATGAAACTGCTACCTGCTATCTTTCATTATAGTTTTTAAATGCAATAAATAAGTTCACTTTAAATGGCAGTTAAATTTTTCATTGAGGATGCAATGCAGGATTTTCTATTATAGTTTCAGGCAGTTAGTTTCCACTAGTTATACATTTGATTAGTCATCTTCCTCTGGCCCGTTTTATTGCCAAATTTATTTAAGCCATTTGATGCCAGAGATGCAGTCAGTGAATATATTTGTACTGCTAGATGCCATGACCATTTTATTGCCTTTTATCAATTCAGACCAGTCACCAAAGAACTCTCTAGATATCTACTAGCAAATGTACCTTTAGTATCTATCTGGTATGTGTGTGTGAATGTTTCGAAAAGTTGCCCACAAAATTTAAGACGCGACAATTGTGCTGTGCGTAAGTTGATCCATTGCCCTGGGGCAGAGCAAAGTTTTGATTGAACATTTACAGAGACCGCGCGTATCGGTTGGGTATCGGGTTAGCGTCAGGCTTCGTTCTCGTCTCGCACTGCGATGGCATTTGTGCTAGCAATTTCCCCCACAGCGACAGCAGGCTGAAGGACTGTGCTGCTAAGCTGCTTACGCCCTGCCGTGATGGTGGAGCAACCTCAACAATTTCAACATCCGGCTTCCGTTGCAGTGTAATGGAAACTCAAGGCGAGTGCCGTGCCGCCATGCTGTGCCAACATATTAAAGTTGGCAAATGCCGAAAGCACCAGAACCAGCAGCAGAAACAGTGAAACAGAGAAACAGAGCCGGAACCTAAAAGCGGAAGGCGGATAGAATCCAAAGGAGCTGGAAACTGACAAAGTGTCGGGTGCGGAAATCTAAGGCAGGAATAAAAACGAAAGTGACACATTGTGCAGCTGGATATCGAAAGGGATAAGGATAAGGTATACGACGCTCAGTGGAGGATGAAGGGATTTTCCGGGCTTTCTGGGCAGATGGCAGTGGACCTGATGATGGGTCTCGGGGGCGGCAGGTGGCCAGGAGCACACGGAATGGCGCCTGGTCACCCACATAAATCAGGGCCAGGACCAGGCCAAAAACCATTTCGGTTAAATGCGTTCTCATAACTCCCAGCACCGCATATCATTCAGCGGTATCCAAAGGGGATGCGTCCCTTGATTAATTGCTCACTGCGGCGAATGTGGAAATTATTTTAATTTTCCATCGCCTTGCGCATAATTTGAGATAAGCCCGAAACGAATCCAAGCTTGAACTCTCAACATTTACACGGGATAATTCGACGGCCCGTGTGGAGGGGGGGATGGCGCTAGGCGCCATGCCAATATATGAATATTTTAGGCGGACCGCGAATCATTTTCATGAAAATCGCATAAAGGCCAAGTATGATGGGCGCCGGCGAAGGCAACGGTGCGTATACTTGATATCTGAAACGTTTAATTCAAGTCAGCGGCGCGGCGTAATTTTCAACTCAAACTTAAATTGTGGCAAGGAAACTACTTTTTGGTGGGATCCCTTTCTCCTCCTCTCCATCCTCTGACCATCTTGCCACAACTTGGCAATTACCTCGCACGCCCCCTTGGCCACACCTCCTTCTGACGCAACATCTTAAAATGCAATGCAAACGGAAGGAAAAAGTTTTGAAACGTTTCGCTTATATTTCTTGGGCTGCAACTTACGAATCCGTTAGCCGGGTGTCAGTCAAGTGGCTCAGAAAATGGAGGAGCAATGGAGATGTAGAACTGCGCTTGGTATCAGAAAGGGGACTGGCATTGGGATTGGGATTGGATAAGGCAAGCCGAGTCAAGTCGGCAAGTCAAATAAAAAGTTTTTCGTCAACATTACGCAAATTAGTTTGTCAGCCGAGCAAAGCAAATGCAGCCGACGAAACCCTAATGACATTTAGACTAAAGGATAACTTTTCAGAGAAGGGATAAGTCGAAAGCCAAGGCCGGAAACTCCCCACAGCTTATAGAGTGAGCGATGATGGAGTCTCTCTCATCTATGTATCGTCCTTCTGCAGTGCGGGATCTCCATTAATGTCTGAAGTTTCCTTCGGCCGTGCTCCAGCTCCTGAATTCTAATCCTGATTTCCAGAGCCACGAAATGTCGAACGCTCAACGTTCTTAGCTTCATTCGATATGCATTAATGCTCCTTTGTACCGTCGAAATCATAAAATCAAATATGCATTGAATTACCGTGTACGGCAGGACAATTATATTATACCTTCTGCCAAAAGGAGCAGAAACCAAAGAGAAAAAATGAAAAAAAGGAATATTTAACTCAATTTGCTGGCCGTAAATTTGGTACCACAAGCAGCTGTGCCACCTGCCCCTCCCTGCTGCACGGTCCGACCTCACCAAACCCTAAATCGGCCGCATTTTTCACTCAACATTTTGCTGCCATCAGTTAACACTCCACACAGAGGGTATGGTAAGTTCTCCCAGCAGCTTGTCCCGCACAGGAGGCAGCAGTGCTAATCCTAAAAGGTACGTATCGTATGACTGGAACAGTATCTAGCATGATCTTCCGAGCTCAATCTGTTCTTTGCTGGAATCTACAAATTTGATTAATGTGATCAGAAATCATACTTTTCAACAAGGATTCTGATGATTGCAGATTATTATAATCCAAACAAATGTAGTTCTTTGGTTTGTTGTTGGTTTGGCTTTAATTTTCATACTTCTTTACAATAGTTTGTCAAATTACAATAATTTGTACTTGTTCTTGGCTCTTTTTTAAGCATCAGTCTTCGTTTACCATGTCTGATTTTAATTTTTAAAATTTCAAATGTAAGTACACTGTGTTCTGTAGGTAATCCCCTCATGTTTCTACTGTTCTAGATAATCGTTTGTCTAACTACAATTATTTCTGATTTTGATTTTGTACAAAATGTCCTGCAGGGGATTACCTGCAGATTTCATTGAGATTGAATTAAGCTAAGTGTTCGCCGAAACTGAAAGGGTATTTGTACATCGATGGTAATCGGTTCTTAATTTTTTTTGTTTTGTTCAAATTTTTTTTTTATTTCTTCTCTCGTTTATGCGCAAAAGTGCGTGTAATTCAATTTTTCATGCGCTGCCAACCAGCCGGGGCCCGGACTCGACGCCGTGTGACATGGGATAGAGGTGGAGCGGGGGCGTGGTGTGGCAGGAGCTACCTTTTTATTCTCGAAAAATTAAGACAAAGGACCGTGCCGTGTTGCGAAGCACAAAATATGCGTTGGAGGCATATTTGGTACACCGTTTTCTACGGTTCGCCCTTTTATTGATGGCCAATCCGTTTTCAGTTATCCAATACCGTCATGGTTACAGTTGCCATTCGGATGGGCGTTATCAATTTTTGATGAAGGGTCCTAGAGCCCTTTGTGCGTATTAATAATTTGGAATTCGTAGAGTTCGTTGTGTGATATAGTATGTGGGCTATTGCGAAGCAAACGAGATAATGAAATGTAATTATAACCAAAGATCGGGTTAGTCCCGACTGAACCTAGGCACTGCAATATTGGCCCAAGCTGCCTCGTGGTCAACGGCGTTTCTGCGCGTGCGTCTAATAGAACCCGTAGAAGAAGCAGAATTAGCCAAAGTCCTTCGAGCTTCCAGCTCAGCCCGAACTGCCATCCAGTTCGGGAGCGTTCCCGAGGGCTGCGATGCCGGAAGCCAGCGCTGCAACCGCATCCGCTGACGATTGCCACCCACATCCAACACGCTCCTTGCTAGGGCCTCCTGCAAAGCAGGGTCCGAATGCTGCTGCTGCTGTTGCTGCTGTGGCTGCTCTTGTATTGGCGACAGCTGTTGCGGTTCGGGCATCTGAGCATATCCAGCAGCCACCGCTTCCGAAAGGCCTATTAGCGCGGGACTGCTTCTCTGAGCCCTGCTGACGACCAACTCGTCTATGGCGTAGCAATCTTCTTCCTCGAGCTTCATGTCCGCGTCGAAGCTAAGACAGTCATCGTTATTCATGCGAGTGGCGAACTCCACAAAGCTATGCCGCACTGCCCTCGCCTGCTCCTTTTTAAGAGCCTCCGCCGAGGTGCACGGCATTTCCACATCATTTCCATCATCCGGCACATCGTGCACAGCGCGATACTTTACGTTCAACTCGTAGGCGATCGGATCGTCGTACGGCGAGCGGGCAAAGTTGATCAGCTCGTGGATAAACTGATTTGTCTTGGGCCCAAAGAAGGTAAGCAAAGTGTTCTGGAACTCGGGGCTCTGCATGCTGACATGCGACAGCATGCCGTGCACCGCCTCGTAAGCTTTCACCATCTCCGCCTCGCTGCTGCGTACGACCACAGATGTATCGCGGTTCGCCCAGTCCATGATGCGATGAATCGCACACGGATCGTTTCTGTTGGCAAAAGTTGATCAAGAAGGGTGTCATTGGTCGCCATGGCGGACACTTACCTGAGCGCCTGAGGGCTCCACTCGCGGAAGCTGCGCGTCTGCCGTGGTGGCAGCGAGTACAAAGAATTGGCATACACGTAGATGCGCCACGAGATCACTTGACGCGTAGACATATTCCTGGCGAAATTCTGCTATTTGCTAAACCGAACTTTGCTGAGTCGATTCTCGATCCGGATTGAAAAAAATACTACTATTTTCTGCTGATAATGCCAGCTGCAGCTGCGCTTCCAATGCGCTTCTCGGCTTAAGTTCCACAAGCCTCTGAATCACAGAAGGGTAAGATTTATTTATTTATCTAGCGCAAAACAACACACAACCAGTTTACTTCAGTCTTCGCCCAGAAACAATTTTGCAAGTACTTGATTTCTTTTTTTGACAAGAAAATGGTGACGGCTTGGTCTTTAGTAATTAATTAGATGTGTACACACTGAAAATACCAGATATGGTGCAGTGTTGTCAAATAATCCTCCAAGAAAATGAGTACATTCACAAATAAAATGTAAATGTCTCCTTTCAAGTGAGTTTTTTTGTTTTTGAATATGTAGTACCTGATCTGATAGTAGATCTGATCTTAGCGGTTTCAAGCATACAGCAGGAACAGTGAACCCTGTACACAGTGCACACAAAATACCACGTTCCGGTTTTACTGTACTGCCGAAAAAAATCACTTAACACTACAGCATCGAAAAAATTGATTTGATTATTCATCGATTATTTATTAATCCGATACGGACAGAAATAAACTGTGGAAAATCGCTGACGGGCTGGAGACTAGTTTACATTAATGCAGGTAGACATATGCCACCGATTATTAAGAAAATATTTACAAACATCTGGAGAAACTATAGGCCCTTGGACAAACAACCCATTGCTCAAGAAATGTGAGTAATTTGACCCTTTATAACGACACTTAATTCGAAACGACACCCGTCAAAATGGGAATAAATGGAAAATAAATTCATCCGTCCGTCCGTCTGTCCGTCCCTACTAGCGGCTAGTGCTCAAAGACTATAAGAGCTAGAGCGACGATGTTTTGGATCCAGACTTCTGTGATATATCACTGGTACAAGAATATTTCAAAACTTCGCTCCGCCCACTTCCGCCCCCACAAAGGGCGAAAATCTGTGGCATCCACAGTTTTAAAGATACGAGAAAACCAAAAACGCAGAATCGTGGAGAATGACCATATCTTTTAGACTGCAGAATCTGAATTGGATTGTATCATTTTTATAGCCAGCATCAAGAAAACAATTTGATTTTGTTCTCGCCTTGTCTCTCTCTAACACACACGTAGCATAGCCGCAACCAAATTTGGTATCCACACTCCTGATATATCGGAACTTGACGAGTTTGTTTATAAGTTTCGCCACACCCCCTTCCGCCCCCGCAAAGGACGAAAATCTGGGGGTATCCACAAATCTCAGAGACTATTAACGCTAGAGTAACCAAATTTGGTATCCGCACTGCTGTTAGATCTCACTATAAAAAGTAAAGGACGAAAATATGTTGCATCCACAAGAAAACTAAAACCGCAGAATCATAGATAATGACCATATCTATCAGATTGCTGAATCCAGATTGATCTGGATCAAATTTGCAGTGACTACGCAGCGCCCGACGACACGCTCAGACTGATTTTCTGTCTCTCTCGCACGCACTCTTTGTCGTGTCGCTTAATATTAGCGGCGTTTGCCGGAGGAGAGCCATACTGACCAAGTATCGTTTTACAATAAATCTTTACATTTATTATTGGATTTTGTATTATAATTAATGTTTGTTCTTTTGTTGTTTTGAGTACTAAATTTCATATCCGGCCACGCCATTAGGGGCGGGGCTTGTATCCAAAAACAATTTAACACTGTCTCCATATGATGCCAGATGCCTGTGTGCCAGAGCGGCGTTAGTTCTACGGTTCAAACTTTGAACTTTAGTTATTGTATGTATATAGATATTTTTAGATCCTCTTAAAAAACAAAATGTACAACATGTGCGGGGAAGGCTTGTTGTGTTGGGTAGGGGACAATCTTCGGGATCAGGGATCACATATCGGATGGAGGATCCCATTGGGGACTGGATACATTAGTAGCGTGGGATAACATTATACAAATGTTGCTTATGCATACATAGGTAGGTAGGTATACAAACATATATGTAAAATAGGGGTATAGGGTGGGTTTGAATATTTACAACTTAACATGGCAACCTTAGGCCTAGGATAAAACTATTTGCTTACATTACAAATTAAATATTATATTATAATATATAGGGGACAAGGTCAACATATTTAAGGATTCAGAATAGGAGAAGACCATAATCTTTAAATACACTTTTCGAACAGTTTTTAGAGTAATAAACTGTTGAAGCTTATGCTAGAGACGCCAACGTCAAGGCAGCATCGAACATTGCATCGTTGCTCTGCTCCTCTCTCTAATCTTGCTAATCATCATCATCATCGTCGTCGTCGTCATCGTCGTCGTCCTCCTCATTGTCGTTATCATTGTCATTACCCTCATGATCATCATCGTCGTTCTCATAACATTTTAATAAATTTAGCTTATACATAGGTAGGTTGGTATCATCATCGTCATCATCGTCGTCTTCATCCTCATCTTCATTTTCATTTTCATCATCATCATCGTCTTCATCTTCCTCCTGGTCTTCGGTGGCTGTGGCAGTATCCGCATCTGCTTCCACCAAAGGTTCCGCCCCAACCACATCGATGCCCGACTCCATCCGATATTGACTCTGTTCGTTGCTGACTTCTGCGTCCACGTCCGAGTACAGTCCCAGATGCACATTGTCCTCTAGGCTATTGGCAGTGTTAGGCAGTGCATCGCGTATAAAGCTAATCGCCTCCTCGACTCCACTCGACTGATCATTGAACAAGCCTCCACTGACGCCTCCGTCCACGTCCACGTCCACGTCTGCCCCGTCCCCGGCGTTTCTTTCATGCGTCAGCGTGGACAGTTCAATCAGTGAGTGGGCTATATCGTGCACGTCGGTGGTGCCACTGCCCCGCACCAGAGGGTCACTCGCATAGCTCGTTGCCTGCCAGTTGAAGGAGCTCAGAGCCGAGCTGGAGCTGGCTGTGGTGCTGCTCGCTACGCTGGCACTGTGGCTGGACAGATTACTGTTGCTACAGCTGCGACGACGCTTCGGCGCACTGCACTCTGGCTGCGTTTCCTCCGACTGCTGATCCATAATCCCCTGTGGCACCTGTGGCGCCTGTGGCTGCTGTTCCTGCTCTCGCTCCTCCTCATGCGCCATATGCAGCTCCAGCTTGAGCGGCTTTCGATCCTCCAACACTGCCTCCGAACGCAAAGCGGCCCGCAAGGCGCTTAGCTGAAGATTTAATTCCGGGCTGCCATCGTCCGAGTCGTCACTGCTACTCTTTTTTTTGGGTTCTGCAAAAGATTTAACAGTATAAATATATATGAGAGCTAAAGAATGTTACTATTTGGTCAACATACCACTCGCTTGGCTACTGTCGCCTCCCGACTCATCATCGCTTGAACTACCATCGGAACTGCTTTCAGCCTCAGCCTCGGGCTCAGCCACCGGCTGCTTCTTCTCTTCCTCCTCGTCCTCCTCATCCTCCTCCTTTGGGGGACTTTGTTCCGGCGCCTGCTCCACCTGTCGCCTGCTGCGCTTTCGCGTTGTTCTCTTGAGCTTCTGTGGAGCCGGACGCTTGCGTGTAAAGGCTTTGCGGAGTCTTCTTTTGGCCTCCGCCAAAACGATTTCGCTGTTGCCACTGCTTTCACTGCTGTCGTCGCTGCTCGTGCTCCACTGGTGGGCACCCATTGGTGTGGCAGTGCTACTGCAGAAACTGCTGCTGCTGCTGCTCGAACTGCTGCTTTGGCTAACTGGGGGAATGAGACGAGGAGGATTGCTGGTGCGTTTGGGTCGTGTGGAGCCAGCGATGCGTAAAAGATCCTGACGACGTGCGTAGTCGTAGCACTGCTTCCAGTTTTTGCCTCTGCTTGCGGCAGCGCTTGTACTGGGACCCATGTATAGGCCATGATTGGCCGTTTGAGCCTCGTTCTCTTCCGCATCATTTACGGCTGCTGCTGTGGCTGACGGACGCTGGGTGGCCGACGCACTCTCATTCTCTTCATTCACAAATACAACGTCCGAGTCGCTGTTCGAGTCGAGGGTCACCTGCTCGGGGGTCCGCAAATGCGGCGGCTTCAGTTCCAGCACAAAGACACACTCATCATCCTCGCTGGAGTTGCTGCTGCTTTCCAGCTCAATGTGGGCACTAATCGGGATGCTGGCGCCGGCTTGGCGCCTGTTTGTGTTGCTGCCATCGTTGATCGCGGCCACCTCGGCATTGGCAGCGGCATCGCCGTCATCGATCTCGATCACTTCCGACTCGCTGGCCGGACGCCGCATGCTCAAGTTGATGGCCACCGTCTGGGAGCCGACGTTTGAGGTGGTGGCACGCCGTACTGAGATCCCTGGTAGCTCGCTGCCATCGCTGTCCATTGTCACGCTGAAGGAATGTGTGGCACCGGGATTGGTCACAATCACACTGGTGGACGGACGATCGTTGGGTGCGTTCCAGTCGTTGGAGGACTCGGCGTTCGCAGTCTCCCCATCGCCCACCTCCAAATGTAAATCACTCTCGTTGGACGACTGCGTTTCGACCATGTCTAGCAGATCCACTTCCACCTCCTCTGCAACACGGGCCGAGTACTGGACCACATGATCGTACCCAATCATGTCGAATGGGGAGCGAGCGAAGTTGAACAGCTCGTGGATGAAGTGACTGGTCCGCTCGCCCAAGAACGGTGACAATCGGCGCCGGAATGTGGGTCCCAGTATGTTCGTCAAGGGCAGAATGTCGTGCATCAACTGCATCACGGTGCTGACACTGTGCGCGGCATTTCTCAGCAGGCACACAATGTCGCGGTGTATCCACGGCATCAGGCGATGCATCTGGGCAGGATTGTTTCTACAAGGATAAACTAAGTTTAGCCGCACTGTCACGAGGCTGAACAGACAGTGGTTCTCACCTGTAGAAACGAGGACTCCACTCGCGGAAGTGGCCGGTGAGGCTATCACTGACTGGCAGAGCATATAGCTTGCGATCATAGACGTAGCGCCGCCAGAGCTGGCTCAGGGAACTGCCCGAGATGGCGGGATCCTGGTCGTGACGATAGAAATTCATCAACTCCATGCGATATGGTTCGAAGCGATTGTACGAGTGGCGGCCACCCGACGATTCAGCAGTGGGCAGGCCATCCTGTGAACCATCACCAGCCGCCGCGCCGTCCAGGTCGTTCGTCATCGACGACTGGTTCTGCACCAGCGGCATGAACCTGGGACGTCGTACAATTTGAAAGCGCAGCGCTGGATGGTGATCTGGTATGGGCGGTGATGAGTTCTGAACCGGATAGCTGTCGAAGTCATCCAGTGTGCGGACATTGTGGATGATCGTCTTGAAGGGCTGCTTGCACAGCGGACACTCGGCTTTCACCTGTTATCAAATGTTTATCAAATTTCGTCCGCTCGCCTCTCCTACCATTACCGGCACAACTCACCTTGCTCCATTCGCAGAGGCACTTGAAGCAAAACTGATGCATGCACGAGTCGGTGAAGCATTTTCGCTTGCAGCGCGACAGGCAGATGGCACAGTTGGGCGGTGGCGAGGTCCGGCCACTGCCCGATGCACTGGTGCCCGGCTCCCCGTTTCCGTTGCTGTTGGCGTTGGCACTGCCATCGCCTTCGCCTTCACCGTCGCCGTCGCCACTTTCGCTGCCACTCTCTGTGAGATCGGCGAATTTCATAGCTGCCGGTGGAAGGGTTCTGCCCGTGCCATTGACAGTGAGGGGCAATCCTGTTACAGGCTCAACAATAACAGAAGCACCGACATCGTCCGCATATGAGGCGGCGGCTGCTGCGGGCAGCTCCTCTACCACCTCCGCCATATTGCGCGTTCAATCAAAATTGTTATCTTTTGAGGTGCTGACTCGTTCCGGATGAAGGGCGGAAGGTGAGAGCTCGCACCAGTTAATAATTTTGTTCGGAAATGGGCTCGGGCCCAGCACTAAGTTTTGTGTCTACTCTGGCAGTCCGTCGACACTTGCTATCTCGCTTGCACACAGACTATCATCTGGTTTTATCGCTCACAATACATGGTAAAAATTCACATGCGTCTTTTTTTTCATCGCTTTTCCAGGCCAATGGCCGTATTCCACAATCTCCTGACTATTGCTTTCGGCAGCCAGAAGTTTGATGGTGGCCTTTTCACTGAAATTTGTTCTTAAAATGCACTTAAACTTTAATATTTTCAATATTTAACATCAAGACAAGCAAATTTGTTTGTCCGAGTTTCCACAAAATGAAACTAGTTTGCTACATGACGTACTACACAGCTATGTCATTATTAACAGAGCCACCTACTGACGAAACCGGCCAGAAAAGTTCTCAGAAAGTATTTCGTTAATTTTTTATCAAATTATTTTTTTGATATCAAACGGATCTGTAGCCGATACTGATCTTGAATAAGTTACTTATTCGATAAGACCTGTGACATGCCTCTAAATGGCATTTAGATATGATTTCTACATCGGGCTGGGTCTAAAAATATACCAAAAACTACTATTCAATCATAGCGATTTTTTTACATTTAAAATACATTATTTTAGCATCTACCTCAGATACATAATTAAAAGAATAGTATTGATTTGATTTCATAAATTTTAAATTATGCTAAAATTTGATTTTCGGTATTTATCTTAGAGGTAGAAAAGACATTAAAGATGCGAGACAAGTATCGATAGTATCGATATCTTCGCGTCGTATGCTGTGGCGTCAATTTTTGTTTATATTTTGGAATTAAAATATAAAAACAAAAATATAAAAGTACACAGCTCAATGGCCAGACGAAATAAGCGCACCTCCTACGAGCAGTACCAGATTTACCTGAACATGATGGAGTCCAATCCTGTTTTGACAAACGGCAGAGCGACGCGCTACGACGACATCATGAAATGGAAAGAATTGAGCGATCAGCTAAACAAATCCAAAACCGGGCCTTGTCTCGAACCCGAGGAATGGCGAAAGGTAATCAGAGTTTTACTTTGTGTATCAAAGGCACGACTAACACTCTTCCCGCCTTTTGCAGCGCCTGAACGATTGGAAGAACACGACACGGTGTAAATATAGACGCATCATGTTGTCCCCGGGAGCTAAGTTATCCCTCTCGCCACTGGAGACCAGAGCCCTGAGCATCTTTGGAGAGGTTTCGGACGTCGGTGCATTGGTCTTCGACGATAGCGCCGAATATTTAGAGGAGCACATCGGTCAGGAGGAACCAGTGGATAACTATGCGGACTACCGCGAAGATCCGCCGCCGCCAAAATCTATCCGAATTAGCCCGCGCAAAGCTAAGCAGGTGACAGCGCAGTTTCCAGAGGAGTACACCGAACGTCCAGCCACCAAGATCATCAATGGACAACTTCCCGTAAAGCGGGTTCGCGTGCAGGTCCCCGAACAGCTTTATGAGGGTGAGTTTCATACATATGCCCCTTAAACTTTACACACTTTAAACATAATAATTTCATTTCTTCCTGGGTTTAGTCAAGAGTTCACTGCAGCAAGACACAAGCGCCCAGGAGATTAAGAATCAGCTGGAACGAATCGCGGACATCCACAACGCCAGCCTTCAGTTCCAGGTTGCCTGTTTCAAGTACAGTAATCCCGGATTTGAGTACAGTCCGCCGGAGCTATAGCGCCATGGAACAAGCGAATTACAAGGAATTACATATCGGTATTGTTTTTAACATATTATAGAATCATATAGATCCTGTTAAGTTAAGTTTAAAAAGATATATCTTTATTAAATAAACTAAAAACAAAAAAATAGAACTATCGTTTGAATCAAGACATCGGCTCAATGAGTTTCCGCCAGATGTCGCTGTGAGTGCAACCCTATGCTTCGCCGTCGAAATTGCACTGAAAAACCCCAAGCGCGTTAAAATTGTTTGTGGACACTCTTCGCATTTTTGTGGCGTCGGCTTTTAAAATTACGATTTGCGTAAGAAAAACAATATCCAAGGCGCGTATTAACGGTGAATGTTGGGCAAAATGGACCGCAGAAAGAAGCGCACATCCTCTGAACAGTACCAGATGTACATAGACATGATGGAGGCCGACTCCATTTTCGCCACCGGACGGGTGCCGCGCGATTATGATCTTAACTATTTGACAAAAAAATGGAAGGAGCTTTCCGACAGGCTAAACAAATGCAGTTCGGGTCCCACACTGACGGCCGAGGAGTGGCGGAAGGTAATCGAAGTTTTATTTTGTAGATTAGAGTATCCCCTATAACACTCTTCCCGCCTTTTGCAGCGGCTGAACGATTGGAAGAACACCACAAGGTGCAAGTACAGACGCAGCCTGATGGCCACCGAGAAGGACATTTCGATGACGACGCTCGAGAACAGAGCCCTCGATCTGTTTGGCAAGGTGCCCAGCACAACGGGCGAGACGCTGCTGAATCTTAAGTCTGAGAAGGACGATGGCGATGATGAGATTGAGGAAATTGGACAGCGCACATCGGCCGCGTTTCAAAAGGAGCTCCAAGCTGCCGTCGAGGAGGCAATCAACGATGAAGTAGATGACGTAGATGATATGCTCGAAGAACACGTCGAACAGGAAGATATTATCGATGATAATCTGGCCGACAATAGCGGCGCCATGGAGAGTTCGAGTGCTGCCACAACTGCTGTAAATACGGGGGGTGGTACTTACCGCACAATCGTGGTTGACAACACGTCCTTTGAGCACGTGGAAGATCCGCATCCCGTTGAGTTTGTGACCGCCCGTCGTACGCCCGCTTCTAGCAATTCCAGCGTCCATGCAGTCATTAATTCCGGCCCCGTCGTGGAAACCAAGCTCATCAATGGCGAACTACCCGTGAAGCGATTACGCACCCAGACCCGGCCTGATCAGATCATCTACCATGGTAAATATATTCGTTGTTTCTTTGACTGAAGAGATTCCCCGACTTGTGTTCGTTCCGTTTTCAGTCAAGAATGCACCGAGATGCATCTCAAACATACAGGACGTGCCGCCTCTGCTCAGTACAAAGGTGGAGAGAGATACCACAACATTGAGCGCCGCCCTTAGTAGCCAGGATGGCCAGCAGATAGCACACCAGCTGAAGCGTCTGGCCGACATCAACTACGAGACGCTGCAGTTCGAGATCGCGCGCTTCAAGTTCAACAATCCGGGTTTCCAATACAATCCGCCGTCCTTATAGTACTCCATGCTGGAGGAGACAGCAGAGACGGCTCAGGAATCGAGAAAGCCCCAGCAGTAGCCAGGGAAACGGCAGTTGCAGCAGTCTCATCCGTTAGGTGCCCGAGTCCCAACTCGAATGGCGTAGATATCTCTGACTCTGCTCTGCCCATCCGCGACAGAAATCAGCATAACTTATAGTAGCCACTTTAGATTAAAATTTATATAGATTTCTATTGCAAATATACAATATCATATTTCTCTTTTCAACAATTAAAACCCACACGTGTCACGCCCACGAGAGGCGTGCAAGAACTTAATTGGACAAAGTTATTTTAAAGGTGTTGTATGTATGTAAATGTAAAGAATAAAGTTTACCAATGATAAATACGCTGCTCAATGGAATCTGTATTCGCCAGCACCCGTGGTTGTGGTCTGGAGCAGAGCCCCATTCCCTGGCTGATGTTGATCTGCCGATGCCCATGTCGATGCATTTTTTTGGTTTATTTATGACTCTGATGGTGAGGCGCGTTTGCTATGCCATCGATTGTAACACGAAAACTCCATTAATCATTTTTAGAGTCTCAAAATGGATGGCGTCGACAACGCAACGCAACGCAACGCAGCGCAACGCATCGCATCGAATCGCCTGCATTGTGTTGTTCTTCTTCGGGGTTCTGGGGTTTTGGGTCATTTAACCTGACCGCGAACTTGTGGGCGCACTTTGTAACTGTCAGGAGGGCCCTGCGGGCATGGAGGCGAGGCGGCTGCGCCAGGCAGTGGAGAGATGCCACATCCAAGGCGAAAGAAATCACTTTTAACTGTTATATTGCTGATGCAACAAGTGCCGATCCGATCCAAAGGCCAGCCCAAGCCTCTTGGGATAACTGCAATGGGCAATAGATCATTTGCACGCCGTGCGCTGCGAATCATAAATTACTGGGAGACCTCTACCCAAGTTCCAGGTTGCAGGCCCAATGGTCTAGGCATCCATGTTTCGGGCTCTTATAGTACTTGCAACAGTCGACGACGCATGACGTTCCGTTAGGAATCATTGCCATCTCTTTGCGGCTGGCATTTCGGGTCGATGATAACTGCCAAACACGTCGTATGCTTAATCTGTTCTGCTTTCTGCACCGTCTACCCAACTGCCCAACTCCCCAACTCCCCATCTCCAGAGGTTCGAGCTCTAGGCCCGGCAGCGTGTGGGTGCCGCTCGCTCTTTGATGAAAAGGCTGCCAGCAAAAGCTGATTAACGTACCATCACACAGGCAGACAGACACACTCGGTCCCAACCCGCGGATATGTCTGTCCGTTTGTACGTCAGCCTGGGCCCACAGATGTCTTCTTCTCACATGGCATTGAAACTGATGCGGCTGGAACTGAAGCTGGGCCTGAACCTCTGGACCTGGGACCTGGAATCTGGCTGCGGCCATGGCCTAGGCCGTGGCAGAGCAGAGAGTGCATGCCAAGTCCATTAAATAGTTCGTGTTGCACTCGTTTCGCGGAGCCCCAACTATGGGTCCATTGGATATGGCTATGGGTATGGGGTATGGGGTATGGGGTATGGGGTATGGCACACATGACAGCGTGCAGAATTGACCCCATAGGCGGGTGCTATAAAAACCCAGAAATAACAACAAAAAATGACTCGAAACGAAAGCGATCTGCAAAGGGTCGAGACTATAAATACCCTGCATTTAGGGTACGACTTCTAGATGTGATTTTTGTGCGGCTCTTGGGGATCTGTGGACAGTAAAAACACATGTTTTTATTCATTTAAATATTTGTGTCATAACGATTATAAGATTAGCTGAAAAGAGCAGGCCTATTAAGTCCATCCCCTGTAAGCAGCTCCAGTCTTGTATTACCAGGTGGACAAACAGGGTGTCTAATTATCATACCCCCAAGATGGGTATAAAGGTATGCGAAGACAAGAGAGTGTGAGAGACTGAAAGGAATCCCATCAATGCCCTGTCTCCAGGTATTGTATATTGAACGCATCAATGCCGTATCCCTTATCGAGTTTCAAGTACTATGTTCGACTCGCAGTATGCCAGACGCTACCTATCGCTCAGTCTCAAGGATAACATATACAATCTTATAGCATCCAATATACAATGAGTCGAATTCATATTATAATGCACTGTCCTGGCAAATCCCTAACCGATTTTCACTACTTTAAATCAAAGCCGCTGCGAAAGTTAAAGAAAGCATATGCCGACATCCATGGGCTGTGCCTGGACCGCCTAGTTTTTCGCGCTGGAGGGGAATTGGTTGGGGATAACGCTACGGCCAACAGCTTGTCGCTCCGCAACAATACTGTCATCGATGTCACCATTCGAGACGAGAATGAGGTCTAATTATATTCTCAATTTTTGTTATCCAAGCTAAAATGTACCATATCGTATGATTATATATAAAAGGCGGCACATGTGCTGTACTGGAATCTGGAATCTGGGAACTGGTAACCCTCTTACCTTCCCCTTCCCCTTCCCCTTCGTTTTGGTTCGTTTGGGGCGCAAAAGTGCAAAGCGTTTTTATGCTGGCGATTATTACGCTTGATCCTGAAGCACCAAAGGGTCAATTGATGTTTGTGATGACGCTGAATTGAGCTGATGTTGCCCCCTGTCCGCTGTCCGCTGTCTGCGCTGTCTGCTGCTACATGCAGCAACATCAACAACATTGTGGTTTGTGGCCCGCAATTTGCTTCGGAATTTTAAGCAGCACGGCCATCGTCATCCTCGTCATAGGCGAATATACCCCCCCTCCGCGTTTCTCCATTTTTTTCCAGCATTTTTTTCTGTGTTTTTGTTTTTGCTGCTGCCAAAAATTGCATTGCTTTTGCTGGAAGCGATAAAGCTTCAGCTGCAATGCTCCTTTTGTGGTCAAGCCATTTGATATATCACTGCACTGCCGCAGCGAGCCCTGGAACCCCATTTGTGCAGCACGGAACGGAACGGCACAGAGCCCACTCTGTGGCCTGGCTAATCAAGGCTGGAGCTGTGGGGCTTCATCGGCTGATCGGTGCGGTTCTCATGACGCTTTTGATATAGAAATTATTACAAATTTTGGAGGCTGGCTGGGAAAGTGATCGATTGAATTGATTGGAGATGGTAAAAGATGTCAAGAATTCCATATAATCCCGTGTGTTGCCCAAGAAAGACGGTTCTTTTTTCAAGTATTATAAATCAGAATCTCATTATTGAAGATTCTTCTGAAAATTAATGGTAAGTAAGTACTCAAGTTTATGCTATGATTGCTAGATGATTGTCCCATAAAATTCTGTACAATTCCAGGTTTTGTATGCCATATCGGTATCTTATTATAAAAGATAATGCATCGCAAAGCAGAGAGTGTACCATTTTGTACAATTTAGGTACACTTTTTGCTGTCAGCAGTCGTAAATCTAAAGAGCTTTTGCTTAAAAGCTTAATTTCGATCAATTACCATCCATGCCCCCAACCTATCTTTCTCCATCTCTCTCTATCTCTGTCTGTCTGGCTCTGGTGTACCAGCGATCTCTTCCTCATATCATATTTGATGGGACCAGGCATTGGAGCTGGCCATGTTGCTGCTGTCCAGCATGTAATTATATTAGCATGATCTATGCCATTATGCACATACACATCCACATCGATATAGTGCAATTAGTGCATCAGCAGGAGGGGCAGCGAGGAGGAACAAGCTGAACTATCGGCTAAAACAATATGGCCAGCGGGCGTTTATGGCCAACGACAGGCTATTATTGACGCCACTCGAATGGACTCGAGTGGACCAAGTGGATGGACAGGCACTGGCGCTGGCACTGGCACTGGCACTGGCGCTGGCCCTGGTCTAGGCCAAAACGGGACGCACTGGCCATCATCGGTTGCGTTGCGGCCCGATGTGGCTGATGCTGCATGCAAATTGTGCTGCAGCGTGACAAGAGGCTGATCGGGGCCAGAGGAGTGGCTAAAGTACAAAGAACATTGAGCGTTGAAATGGCGCCCTCTCCAGCTAGCTAGCAGTCATAAACACGCACTAATTGCAGCCATGATTTGTTGCACACTACATTAATGGCGCTCGCAGGACCCGCAGCAGCAACAGCAGCAGCAACAGCAACTCAAATCGAAGCCTAATTGCCTATAAATGGTAGCTTTCGTTGCAGCAGCAACAAAATGTGGCGACATCAAACGTAAAGCTTTCAACATCAAACAGAACAACAGAAGAACGGAACACAGCGTTAGCGACAGCAACACGAGCAGCATGTTGGCGACACCGCAGCCACATGAGAGACATCGGCCGACTGGGTAAAAGTCCGTTTGATTTACAAACAAAATTTAGCAAAAATACACAAGTTGAGGCACTACTCGTAAAAGTGATGTTGCTGCCGCTGTTCTCCACCGATGTGCCCGCTGCTGCTGCTGCTGCCACTAGTCTCCTCCAATGTTGCTGATGTTCCTTCTGGCCATACAATTAGGCGCGAGATGAATGTCTGGCCCTGTCCAGGCGGGGTGGTCCTCTGTGTCGCCAGCGTGGCGATCGATGGATGCATTGATATACAAATCGATTGCTTGATCTCTCACTTGCAGCAGCAACCGGGGCAAAAAAAAAAAGAGCAGCTCGCGTGGTCAGCGCCAATTACTTAGAGCATACTCGTATCAATTATATTACAGCAATGGATTTTAAAATAAATGGCCAGAATGATAGCCCGAGTCTGGCTCCAGGAGCCCAGTTCCATGGGGTTTTCGTTGCTGCACAGAAAGAAACGATACCATAACCATATACCAAACCAGTTGTAGATTATGATTTGTTTGGATTCTTCTACATTTAATGGAAACTCGACTGAGATCTTCATATACATATGTATGTATATTTTGTTCAGTGTAATCGTACTGCTGTAATTGAACTGCGAAATTATTATTTTGTGCATTTGCGATTGCCAGTGCCTACTGGAACTCCACTGCACTCCACTCCGCTCCAGTCCAACTCTATCGAGCCCATCTCTGGCTCCTGCCCTACGAGCATACCAGCCCGGGT